TATTGCTGAAGCACTAAATAAATTTTATATCAATGTTGGACCTAATCTATCAAAGCAGCTACAACCAGGTATGGGCAACTGTCTAGATGCAGTAACCTGCATCTCAGATGACCTTGTTCTAAAAGAAGTTACAGAAGAGGAAATATTAAATACCATCAACAGCCTCACAAATAAGACTTCTAGCCCCAATGGGATAAATAACAAACTCTTAAAACAAACAAGTCTTAGTGTGGCCCCAGCACTCACAAAACTTATAAACTCCTCTTTCCAAGAAGGAATATTTCCCCAAGAAGCAAAATTAACTGAGGTCAAACCAATCTTTAAGTCTGGACTCTCAACCGAACCGGGAAACTACAGGCCTATTTCTATCCTATCTGCCCCATCCAGGATATCGGAAAAGTCAATGTACAAGAGACTCTTGGATCACTTGAATTCACAATATGGTTTTAGAAAGAATAAAGATGCCCAAGGGGCAATCTTTGATCTTGTTGTCAATATCCAGCATAGTCTAGATACAAATAAGAAAAGCATTGCCATATTCATTGATCTCAAGAAGGCTTTCGATACGGTAGATCATCAAATACTCCTAAAAAAATTAGAAAAGGCTGGAGTTAGGGGCCGAGCAAATGATTGGTTTGCCTCCTACCTCAATGGTAGAGCAGTGGCGGACTGGCCAGGGTGGGGAGGTGGGAAACCCCACCTGGGCCCCCGAAGGGGGCCGCGGGCCCCCCGCACCCGACCTCGGGTACCGCGGGCCCGCAGGGCCCGATCCGGCCAGGGGCCCGGCCCGGGGTTCGGCCCGAAGGGCTCTAGCGAAGGGACCGAGCCAAGGGCCCAAGTCCTAGGTGCAACGTGGGACCAGGGGCCCCGGCCTGGGCCCTAGGTTCAAGTGCCATGTGATAGTTTAGTAATCAAAAATTAACAAAAATGGTTCAGGCATGACCAGATTTTTTTTTCGCTCGCTTCGCTCGCGTTGTTTAATGTATTACAAAAGCACTGTACCTAAATCGCGTCCAAAGGAAACCTGACCACTTGTTACTTTTACAGTGTTTTTGGTACCCGTAAGCGCCTCTTAGCGCCCTCGTACCATTCTAAATTTTCGCGCTCGCTCCGCTCGCGAAATTTTCTTACAGGCGACTGATACAGTTAGTACGGCAACACGCTGGAAAATCGAATATTTAAATAAAACAGGTCAGACATGTAGAACTTGGTGTGCTTATTACGTATAGATTGCCCCTGAAAGGTAGGCAAAACCGGGCCCCCTTTCCTGATTTCCCACCCGGGCCCCTGACCACCCAGTCCGCCCCTGTGGTAGAGGTCAATATGTGAGGCTGGAAACAACTTGTAGTAGTACTCTAACAATCCTATGTGGAGTTCCACAGGGCTCCATCCTAGGACCCCTGTTGTTTCTCATATATACAAATGATGTAGTTAACCTTCCACTGCTTGGTAAACTTACGTTATTTGCTGATGACACAGTCTTATTATATGAAGGAACTGACTACAACAGCATTCAAGAAGCAGCCATACAAGATCTACAAACTCTATATAACTGGTTCTGTCTGAACAAACTCTCCTTCAATATAAAAAAAAAACTAATTATATGATTTTTCATAAGATGTCAGAGGAACCAAAGGATCTGCTTATGCTGTTGGAAGGACAAGCTTTACAGCGAACTAAAACGTTTAAATATCTTGGACTGATTCTTCATGAAACACTCAGCTGGAGTGACCATATAAACAACCTCCTGCCCAAACTCAGAGCAGTGAGTAGGCTAATCTTTCGCCTTAAAAAAGTCCTCAGCTTCGACAAATTAAAGAGCCTGTACTATGCTTATTTTCATTCACATTTAATATATATGTGCAATATATGGGGCCTGACTAATCAAATTACAGTATCAAAAATAAGAGTGCTGCAAAATGGTGTCATTAAAGGTGCCCCCACAATGAGCGCGAGGCGATGCCGGGTAGGCGATGCCGTGCAGCCAGGCCGTGCTTGCAGGCCGTGACGGCAGGTTTACCGACTTTTATGCGAATACAGCTTTACTTAGAAGATGGGAGGCGTACCCTAGTAGAATATGGCGCAAAACCGCGCTGCGCGGACTTCCGCTCGGACAGCGCGCGGCGCAATTCAGTGTTCCGGGGCTCGCCTGGACCACGCCGTTGATACGTACGACGAGCGGTCTTTGCCCGCGATGTGAGTGTGGAGTGGTAGGCGGGTCCATAATGCGCACTCCGCCTCTACTCCGCGCTGATCACGGCAGCGCACCACAGTCCGAGCCGATCGGCCGCGGCAGGCTCCTACTTCGCTGCAGCCGGCGTAGTCCGCTACGGCTCCGCCGCGTAGAGGCACGCTGAGCGCATTGTTTGTAGACTTGCGTTCGCGCGCTTCGAGGGCATTCCTGTGAGCTCGCTCCGCTGTCGGTCTGCGCCGCGGACGTTGCGTCCGCACTGTTCGGGTGGGCCGAGCGCAGCGGGGCGCTGCCGAACTCCGCCTGCCCGTGTAGTGGCAGCTCCTGCCCCCCGTCCTGCGGGCGCCGTCCGCCGCGCGGAGTCTTGGCGGACTATGTGGCGACGCATTCCGCTCTCTCCATTGCGGTGGGACTCTGCCTGGTGACTGAGCTGCAAAATCTGCCGCCCGGTTTCGTGTCGTACTGTGCAAATATAACTCGCAGCAAGGTCGCACTGCGTGCTTCGGGCGGGGCTACTTTCTAGCAATCCCGCTCCCCCTCCTGAGTGTGCAACTCCATAGTTGTGCACTTGCAGGTGTTCTATTCAGTAGGTGTGCACTTAGGGGTGTGCAACTCCGTAGTTGAACATATTCACAGTGTATGTACCACCGCGATACGCCAGTAGCCGCCTTCTAGTTTGAATGCCACAATAGTTTATCAGTGCTTTCACGGGTACGTGTACTCGAGGGTGGAAGGGTAAGAGATGGTCCACGAGTGGTTAACTTTGAAGACTGGTTTATTCGCAGACCGACAGGTGTATATCAAGGCAATAACAAGTGACGAACACTGAGTGGTGCCAACTTAGATACACAACACTGCCAAACACAGCACACGAGTCAGAAATCGTCTCCGCTCGACCGTCCTTTCACGGAGACCGTTCAAACAAATACGTGCCCCCGGGCCAGGCCGTCACTTTTCTCCACCTCTAGTCCCCGAGAGTGACTAAATTCCTTAAAATAGCACGTTCATCAAGTCCAAATGCTATAGTAAACTAATTTTTTAGCGGCCACATTGGTGGTATGCTCGGCTTCGTAAGAACGGCTTTTAAAACAGTTGAACTTTTTGGAAGACGGTGATTATACATCACAAAAGGCAAAACAAAAAGCCCTCCTGCCGCGTTGCCGCGGCATTCTTTTTGTCTATGGTGGCATTGCCCTCCGGGGCCCCGTGAGGGATGCATCCTTGTTGTGGCGGAGCGTGGCCGGGCCAGGTCAGC